CGGACGGTCCGCAACCACCACGCAGCCAGCCGCCACGAGCCCAGCGGCCGCCGCTGCGGCCCCCGGGGCCAGCAACGGGCGCTCTGGGGGCAGCTCCAGGGCAGCCTGCGTCGTCGTCGGCGTCGGCGTCGGCGGCCGTGGCCGCGGCGTCGGCGTCGGCGGCCTCCAAAGGCCTCCGTAGGTCTCCAAAGATCCACCGCAGGCGCCCCAAAGGGCCACGACTGGACAAGAACGTCCGACACCCCGACCTCGGCCCCCTCGCTCCTCAACACCTCCTCGACCTGCGCCTCGGCATTCGCGTTTGGGATCTTCGGCCCCGGGGCCCGTCCAGGGCTGCGTTCTGGCAAGAGTTTCGAACAGGACCCAACCGTGGCCGCGAGGATGCCCTCGAAGGCTCCAGGACGCCCCCAAGCCAAAACATTGAGCCTCTATACCTCGATGTTCCAAGTCCTCGGTCCTCGACCTGCACAAGGGGAACCAGAGCTCTCGACACAGACCTTTTTCCTGGGGGCAAGTCTTCATCCTGGCTCAACTCTTGAAGACCCCCCATCACGAAAACGTCACCCTCCGAGGCCGAGTTCGGACAAAAAAACACCAAGATGGCAAACAAAGGCAACGCGTTGGAGGTATGGACCCTCGCCCCTGGACGGCCGAAGCAACATACGCGTAAACATTGGGAGGTCCGCGCGGACTTCTGGGGTCGGCGCTGGAGGCGCCGCCAGAGAGGGCCCAGCACAGGCTCAGAGCATCCGCGCGGACCTCCGCACAGCGGCCTGCTGATGTCACCCTCCGTCCTTCGACGCCCTCGCTGCTCGACCCCCTCTTCCCGCGCGGCCGGGAGCCCAGTTTCAACTGTTCCTCGATGACACCTATGACCGGCCAAGCCCCCCTCCCCTCCCTCACCTGGCCACGGCCACGCTGCGATTCGCACCCGCGCCGTCTGAGATTTAGCGATCACTGGGCATCCCAAGACAACGCTGGACCCCCCCCCCCTGTGCACGCCCGTTATCGCCAGGGGATGCAAAAAAAAGGTTTCCTGGCCGGCGCCGCGGGCCCCGCGCAGCAGGGGCCACCAGATCCCCTCGTGGAAGGCGTGCGCCAGTGCGCCCGCGCCCACGATGACGACCGCCAACAGCCAGCGCCCCGACGCCGCGCGCTGTTCGGCAACACCTGGGGACAAGGGGCCAGGAGGAGCTGGCGGCGGGCGGCGAATTGGCCAGCCTCCAGAAAGAGGCAGATCCGAGAAAAGGATGGGATCGAAACGCAGCAGACGCAAGCCAACGGCATCGGGCTAGACTGGAAAAGTGGATGTCATAGTGGACGTGTAAGGCGAATGCCTTTTTCAACCGCGGAACTTAAGCCGGTCGAACAGCGATGAGCAGCGGGCCGGATGCTTGGCCAAGCTGTAACTGGCTGCGGAAGCAAAGCACTCAAGGCACAGGCAAGGAAGGGGTGAGAAAGGCAGGCCTATCGCTCGAGACTGGCACGCGAAACGTCAGTCGCGCCAACTGCGAATGCTCTGCAGACCGCACTCGTAAGCAAAAAGCTGCGATGAGAGCTCTCTGACCGCGTTCAGGAAACTACAAGTGAAGCGCTGCGAGAAAATTGCTGCCGCTCACCTGACGAAGCCAGCTGGAGCAGCACCCGCGCGAGTGCTCAACTTCCTCGCAGTTCTTGACCGCGAACGCCAGCAAAACTTGGAGATCTCGCGGCTGCTGGGCAGGACGGCCTGCACATCGGCGAGCGGAGCTAAACTGAGGCACCAGAGCTAGAATGGACAATCTTGCGACACGGTCACACGAGCAACCTCTTCACTGCTGGGCGAAAGAACTGCGCCGGGAGCTCGGGACGGCCTTCCTCTGATCATTACTAGTGCTATCATTTTTCTCGTCTCTTCGCTAAACTTGACCGCGTCGCGGCCATGGTTCATCCGGCCGCCTTCCACGTCCGGGAGAAATCGTCCCGGATGAAGTCGTCCATAACAAGTCGTCCAGAAGAAGTCGCCCGGAAGACCTGGCCCAGGAAGAGTCGCCCAGAAGAACTCTTACGGAAGAACTAGTACAGAAGAACTCGCCCACAGGAAGCCGCCCAGGAAGAAATGATCATCGGAAGAAATATTCCGGAAGAGCGCCCCCAAAAGAAATCGCCCTGAAAAAGTCGTTCGGAAGAACACATCTTCGGAATTACTCGCCCGGCCGGAAAATCTCCTCCGAAGAAATCGCCCGGGAGAAAACGCCCCGGAAGAAGTCGTCCAGAAGAAGTCGTCCGGAAGAAATCGCCCGGAAGAAGTGGCCCAAGAAGAATCGCCGGGAAGAAGTCGTTCGGAAGAAGCCGTCCGGGAGTAGCCGTCTGGAAGAAGTCGTCGCGGAAGGCGCCGCGCTAGGAACAGACCGCTCTAGGAAGAAACCGTCGCGGAGCAGATCGAGAGAGCACGAGAAACAAACCAAGCAGCAGGAGGAGGACGAGGAGGAGGATGCACGGCGAGGCGGGGAAGAAATTCTCGGACGAAATCACTCGGAAAGGGCCGTTCGGAAGAAGTCGCCCGGAGAAATCGTCCGGAAAAAGTGGTTCGGAAGAAGTCGCCCGGAGTATGTCGTCGCGGAAGAAGCCGTCGAAGGAAGATACGCCCCGGAAGAAGTCGCCAGGAATAAGTGGTCCGGAAGAAACCGTTCGGAAGAAGTCGGCGATGAAGAAACAGTAAGCTTTATCAACACTGATCTCGCGCGGGCACGCCCGCAAGGAAAGCGCAACGTCGGGCAGAGTGGGCCGCCTAAGCGATGTTGCCTGGCGGCCACTCGATCGCGCGCCCGAAACGCCGCGGCCGGCCCGTCGAGCGCGCGAGCAGCACTGCGATGGCGGGACAGGCCGCGCTGCAGCGTCGCAAAATCATGGCCAGCTGGATGTTCGACGCGCCAGGCCACGGCGCGCAGCAGGGGGAAACCGAGGCTCGCGAAGCCGATCATGAGTTGACCAGCTTGCTGCGCCTGGTTGCGGAAGATGTCGTACGCGAGGAGGTCGTTGATGCGCCCTCGCCGCAGTCGGTTGAAGTCCATCCGCGCCGACACTGCCGATGCGCGCCCCCCCTCGCCCACTTGGCCCTGCCGGAAGACGAAACTCAGCATCAGGAAGGTCATAGGTGGTACTGGGATGCCATAGATGAATCCCCTAGATGAATCCCCCATGGACCAGGACAGCCGGCGGCCACTCGCCCGCGCACTCGCGCAGCACTCCGGCGAGGCGCGACGAAACGAAGGCGGCCCGGCGAAACTCAGCGAGGTCTAACTTCGCCACTGACCAAAAAAACACCCCACGCACCCACCTCAGGAAAGGCACTCGATCTTGCCGCTCGGGCCCGTAAGGGCTGAGGTGTCGCATGTTGCCACTGCCGCCGCCTGCGCCCACGCCAGGGACGCAGGTGGCGACGGCAACCGCGCCCACTCCGAGGGTCTTCTATTCGGAGCGCATCTCCCTCCAGGCGTTGCAGCAGCGCTGGAGGTCGGGGGTCCACCAGCGGCGCTGCTCGGGAAGTGCGCCTCCGAGGCGCCGCGGACACTCGCCCCAGACGCGTTGCTCCTCGCCTGCACACTGGGCGCATGCTGCTGTCGCGCAGCGGCAGTGCTCTCGGTGCTCGGAATACCCCGTGCCGCAATCAGGGGCGCGCTCCTGGTGTGTCACTGTATTGAGCGGCGCCAACTGCGAGATCGTCAAGCAGAGTGCGCATCAGGATCCAATCCTGCCAGGCCGCAGGGAACGCGCGGGCAAAACGAAAGTCATGATCCAAAAAACCCAAGACGGGTTCTCCCAGATCCGCTTCGCTGTCCCTCGGAATGATGGCGATTTAGTCGCCAGACCCTCCATTATTTCCCCGTTTTTGCCTGCCTGCTCCTCCCAGGGCTTTCCTGGCACACTCACCAGAAGCTCGGGGCCCTTCGACGACACCGGACATTTGAACGCTGTATCGAAAATTTGTCCGACACTTGCGGCCATTTTAGGCGGACGCATCGAAGGCGTAAGGTCCGCGAGCTGCACTGACACAGTCAGGGCAAGCCCGGGAGTGTTAGTTCAAAGCTCCGGCTCGCCACAAGGCTCGTCGTCGTCATGGGCGGCGGCGCGGATGGGGTCTTTGAAGGTACCGCCCGTGTACTTGTAATGGTAGATGTGTGCCTCCCTTGCCACCGTTCCTGGCGAATGGGCCGGCGCTGCCCTGACGGACCCGCGGGCGACGTCGCCTGCCAAAGTGATCGGGAAGAAACGCATAAGAGCGAGACTAACAGCGGATCTAGAGCAGCGCGAGAACAGCTGAGTGTAGAGCGGAAAAATGGAGCCATCACCGTCGAGGCGAGGCGGGACATGGCGGCCGTGGTATTGCAGCCGCAGCTCCACTACCAACTAAAGAAGTTGAGTGTGAAGGGAGAACGGTGCAAGGGGATCCTTCCTGTTAGCGGGATGTAAAGCACCATTCAAAGCGCATCTAATAGCAGGCGCGATGTGTGGCCGAGCTAGAAGCGGCAGCCAAAGGCACAGGCGGCACCTGACAAGGGTGGATTGAAGGAGGCACGACAGATGCCGTTCGAGTGGGAGGATGGGGAGGGGCGATGAAGAGGGGGAGGGGGGGATGGGGAGGGGCCCGAGAAAAGGAGGGTGGAACGCAGCAGACGCCAGCCCAGGACATTGGGCCACAGATGGGGGGAGGGGGGAGAAGGACGGGAGGTGGAACCCCAGCCTCATACCTCCTCCCTGTTCCTTCTCCTCCCTTCCATCTCCTACTACCTCCTCTTTCCTTCCTCATCATCCTCCAGCGCGGGGGAGAGGAAGTCGGGAGGAGATGGCGCAGGTGGGGGCGACGGGGACGGACACGGAGGACACAGGAAGGGAGGGACAGAGGTCATAGGAGAAGGGAGGAAGGAGGGAGCTGGATGAAAAATTGGAGAAGGACGAAAGATGAGGCGGGTAAAATGCGACGACGAACGCGACAACGGACACGACGAGGAGAACCTAAGGGGAGAAGGACGCGGACGACGACCACGACGACAACGACGACACGGACGACGACGACGAGAACGACGACGACGACGACGACGACGACGCCGACGAGAACGACGACGACGGCCACGACGACAACGGCCACGACGACGACGGCCACGACGACGACGGCAACGAAGACGACGGCGACGACGAAGCCGCAGCGACGACCGGTGTCAGCTGCTCCCGCGTCCGGCGCAACGGTTCCAGCCGGCCGCCGGGGCGCGGCGGTGCCCCGGGGCGGCGCGGAGGCGGAGAGGGGGAGAGAGGCGAGCAGAGAACGAAGAGGAGAGGAGCAGAAGAGGATCGACGAGATCGCGAGGCGTGCTGTGGAGAGGCCCCTTGTCCTGCGCACGTAGGGAGCCCACGAAGGACGTACGCGCCCCACTATGTACATGAACACGGCCCCTTGATCCGCGAGACCGGCCGCGTGCTACGAACACTCGCGCAATGTGAACTCTCGAAACTGGCGTGGATTCACGTACGTGTACGCCCTTCTTTCGCTCCTGAGCACGGGCGGCCCCCCGAGGCAGCAGCCCTTATTTGGGCGCCCGAGTTATCCGGGGTAACTCGGGTCCGGGGTAACTCGGGCTTGGATTCCCGAAAAAGGAACCCGAGCTAGCCCTGACCCGAGTTACCCCGGATGATTCGGGGCTCTGGACGCCCGAGTTATCCGGGGTGTATCTCGGGTCCGGGGTAAGTAACTCGGGTTCGGAATCCCGAAAGACGAACCCGAGTTAGCCCTGACCCGAGTTGCCCCTGATGATTCGGGGCTCTGACTCATGGCTGCCCTCCACGGGCCCCCCGGAGAGCCCCGGGGCGGCCTCCCAGCCCCCGGCGCGCGGCGCCCCGGCGGCGCGCGGCGCCTCGGGGGGGGGCGCCCCGCCCCGCGGAGCTGGAGCTGCGGGGGCCGCCCTGGGCTGCTCGGGGGGCCTGCTCGGGGCCCGCCGGGGCTGCAGTCGGGGCGTTGACCCAAGGAACCCTGAATTGGGACGCACAGAGACACACTAACACTACATGTCCTCCTTGGAGGCGCGCGTCCGACCCGAACATATAGTATGCCAATCTTGTAGTATAGCGTTTCCTGAGCGGTGTGGCCAGAAAGCGCCCGCCACGACGCATATACTATAAGATTTCTCGGTGCGCGCGCCCCTGGGGGGGCGATGCACACATAGTATAAGTATGTTGGGGTGACGCCGGTAAATAAGGAACGAGGCCCCTTTTTCCATAAGTTGAACTTCGATTTCCCATGCAAAAACCTAAGGGAAATCCAAGACAAGCTGCGAAACAATTAAGGAACACGGAGCCCCTCCCCAACGAAAAGCGTTCCTTCTTCAGGGCCCCGACTGTACCGTCAAAAACCCTCAGGAGGACGCGCGGCAAGGGCGCAAGACGACGAAGACCTCAAGGGCGCAAGAGCAGGGAAGAGCAAGGACGCCAGGGTACCCTGAGCAGAGTCGCGCGTCCTTCTTAGGGTTTTTGACTGTACGGCCAGCTGTTCCTCGGTTTCGGCCTCTGGGGGTTTGCTCGAGACGACAAGCCCGTCAGGAAGTACCTCTGGCGAAGAGCCCAGCCCTGTGTTCACGCGTGGCGCGCCTGTGTGCGGGACCGTTCAGTGCGCATGGGCATGCTGACGGAGTTGCAGTGCCCCTGAAAGCTTCGCCAAAAAAGGAAAGGCGCACACCCAACTGAGTGAGGCGAAGCGAAACGGACGAGGCGACACCATGCGGACGCAGCCACTGGAGGCAATCGGTGGAACTCCCCATGGGGCCACGAAGCGTGTGAGAGGTGTGCCGCAATGGGGCGGGGCCGCATGCGACCGCAGCCACGGGGCCCTCGGTGGAGCTCCCTGTTGGGCCACGAAACGTGTGAGGGGCGTGCCGACATTTGGCGGGTCATCATGTGAACCCAGCCACGGGAGCCTTAAGTGGAACTCCCTATGGGGCTACGAAGCGTGTGAGACGTGGCCGAAATGGACTGGGGCACAATGTGAACCAGCCACGGGCCCTTTCGGTGGAACTCCCTATGGGGCCACGAAACGTGTGAGAGGTGCGCGCCGAAATGGGGCGGGCCACCATGTGGACCACTGCACTGTCGCCTTCAGTGCAGTCCCCTGCGGGGCCAAAAACGAAAATGTGATGGGTGTGCCGAAATTGGGCGGGTCACCATATGAACACAGCCACTGGCGCCCCGGGTGGAACTCCCTGTGGGGCCACGAAACGTGTGAGGGGCGTGCCGACATTGGGTGGGCCACCATGTGAACCCAGCCACGGAGGCCTTGGGTGCAAGTCCCTGTGGGGCTACGAAGCGTGTGAGAGGTGCGCGCCGAAGTGGGGCGGGCCACCTTGTGAATCCAACAACGGGGGCCCTCGGTGGACGTCCCTGTGAGGCCACGAAACGTGCGAAGGGTGTGCCAAAATGGGCTGGGGCACAATGTGAACGCAGCCACTGTCGCTTTCGGTAGAACCCCCCTGGTGGAGCCACGAAACTTGCGAAAGGTGTGTCGCAGTGGTGCGGCGACGACGTGGGCGCAGAATATCAGCGAGAGCGCGCGCGCATGTGAGCTGCGCTGTGCGCGGGCGCAAATTTCGCGCCCGCGCGTGGCCCGCGCGCAGGCGGGCGAGCTGTGCGCACAGTCCATTCCCCGTTGCTCTGCGCCTCGCGGCGCGCGGCCCCACGCGGAAGGCTTGCGCGCGCGAGGGGGGGGGGCAACGGCATGTGCATCGCCGCGCGCGGCCCCGCAAAAAGAGCCCGCGCGCGCGCGCGGTGGCGGCATGCGCTTCGCCGTGCGCGACCCCGCGAGAACGGCTCGCTCGCGCGCGCACGGGGCGTGGGCACGCGGCGCGCGCGCGCTTTCGCCGCTTGGTGTTCTGCTTGCCTCGCGGTGCGCGCTCCATGCTGGCGTGCCGCGGGGATCCCGTCGGGGTGGATGGTGGCGCGCCTAGGGGCCACGTGGGTTGCAGGCATTGGAGCTTCCATCCTCGAGGCATCGACGCCTTCGTCCTGCCGTCGCGGACGGAGCGCGCGCGCGCTGTCGAACCACCCACCCGTTCATGGGGGCACTTGCATCTTTGGCGCCCCGCGCGTTGGCTCAGATTGGCACCACCACTCTGGGCGGCGTGGGGAGTGCCGCACCCCTTGTCAAGAGGGCGCTGGCACCTTGCAGCTGAAAATTGCGGCTGGAGACGACGTCGATGACGGCGATGACGAAGATGATGTTGACAAGGATGAGGAAGAAGAGGAGCGCAGAGGAGGGGGAGGAGGAGAAGGGCGCTGCGAATTCACAACGAGGACCCAGCACAGAGGAGGGTTGGGAACCAATCCTGGGTGAACAAAAATGCCAGAATGGACCCTGCGAGAACCTGGGGACCGAATATGAGCGAATCTCGTCGAGGACGAGGACGATGAACAGAAGGTAGACCATCCAGATTCGAGAACCGACACCCTTCCCCAGCGCCAGCTCTTCACCCCGAGTCGTGATGTCGGCGGCCCTGCGTCGCGAAACGAACGCCCAGAGGCCAAAGCCTGAGAAACGCATGCCGTCGCGATATTGACGAGAAAACGAGCGGCAACCGTAGCAGAAACGAGGAGGGAGAAGGGAGGGAGGAGGAGGAGGTGGAGGAGGAGGAGGAGGAAAGAGTGCGAGGGGGAGGAAAAAACGGAGGAAGGAGGAAGGAGGCGAGAGGAGGAGGAGCCAGGAGGGAGGGGGAGGGGGAGGGAGGAGGGAGGAGGGAGGCGGAGGAGGAGAGGTGGAGGACGAGGACGAGGGAGGAGGAGGAGGAGGAGGACGACGAGGAGGAAGAGCAGGAGAAGGAGGAGGAGGAGGAGAAGGATCGATAAGGAGGATCGAGAGGAGGCGGCGTGAGAGGAGGCGGAGGAGGAGGAGTAAGGGAGGAGGAGTAAGGAGGAGGAGGAGGAGGAGGAGGAGGAGGAGAAGAGTAAGAAGGAGGAGGAGGGGGAGGAGGAGGAGGAGGAGGAGGAGGAGGGGGAAGAGGAGGAAGAGGGGGAGGAGGAGGAGGAGAAAAGGAGGAGGAGGAGGAGGGAGGAGGAGGAGGAGGAGGAGGAGGAGGAGGAGGAGGAGGAGGAGGGAGGAGGAGGAGGAGGAGGAGGAGGAGGAGGAGGAGAGGGAGGAGGAGGAGGAGGAAGAGGAGGAGGAGGAGGAGGAGGAGGAGAGGAGGAGGAGGAGGAGGAGGAGGAGGGAGGAGGGAGGAGAGAGGAGGGCGGGGGGAGGAGGGAGGAGGGACACTTTCTTTACTACGAGCAGCAGCAGCGCGAGCAGCCAAAAGGGGACTGACACCGCTGGATTAGAGAAAGGGCAGCGACACTGAGACCCCGCCGCCCCCACGGGGCAAAAGGGGGCACGGGCCAGACGCGCACATCACAGTGACCCCAATGACTGGCACCACATCTGGGAGGAAGTCCCTCCCCCAGCCCCACGAGAGGAGACGCATGCTGCGCTTGCACCGCGAACTTTCCCCAGAGACTGGTCTCCAGAAAGCGCGCTCGCACACGAGGAGCCCAGTCTCCCCAAGCGTGGTGGAGGACGAGTACTCCAGAGTTCGTAATTAAAGGGAGGGGGTCTGGACCCTCCAAGACAAGCCATTTCAGACCCCCCTCGTGGGAGAACCCTCCAAAACATCGTCCCCAGACCACCCCAGGCCCTCCAAGATAGCCTGGAAGAGACCCCCCCGAAATGACACCCCCCTCCCTTTCTTACGAAATCTGGAGTACCCGCCGCACGCTGAACGGAAACAGCACGCGCCCCTGGCCCACAGCATGCGGGGCGGGCGGGGCGCCCTGCCCTGGAAACCACGACATGAGGGCAACCGACACGTGGAGGTCGCCAAGGCCGAGGGCCCCAAACAGGCGCCTGGCCCATGGCCGGCCATCGCCGATGGGCGTCCGACAAAGCCACCTCCCCCTCCGTCTCTCCCTCCCGCGGGCAGGTCCTGCGCCCCGTGCTTCAACAGGAGACTCGTGGACAGCAGCTCTCTCTCTCGAGGGGGGGGGGGCGGCGGGGGCAGGCCGACCCGAGGCGGCGCAGGGCCTGAGGGGGCGGCCTTGCGGGCAGAGAGGCCGCACTCTCTCTGCGCTTCCTGCCACCAGGGAGCTGCGCAACGCAGCGGGGCGAGCTCGATGCAGCCTGGGCCCTCTTCGCCGCCCCTCCTCCTCCTCCTCCTCCTCCTCCTCCTCCTCCTCCTCCTCCTCCTCCTCCTCCTCCTCCTCCTCCTCCTCCTCCTCCTCCTCCTCCTCCTCCTCCTCCTCTTCCTCCTCCTCCTCCTCCTCCT